AAAGTACATAACCAACCCACTTGCAAAACTGAGTCTGATCAATTCTATCATACCATGGAATTATTAGTATGAAACAGTCTGAAAGTCTGTTCTTGAAGGACAAGTAGAATAGTATGTTCTAATCCTTACATGTAGGCTCTTCTTAGCTTCCATTACTGTGTAACGGCAGTTATATTCTGCAGTTAGCCTACTAAATTTCTTCTTAATTTTAAAGCATTTAATCACATCATTAAGTTTTTATTAGTAGTTATCTCCTGGGTTTTGAAGAGGACAGTTCATACAATTAACTTTCCTCAGAATTACATTTATGTTGAACTACAGATTTTGAAATGTTGTATTTTCATTCTCATTCTATTTTTAAATCATTTTTAACTTTTAATCTTAATTTCTTTCTTGCCCTAGTTTTCATTCAGTACTGATTTATTTAGCTTCCATGAGTTTCTGTATTCCCCAATGTTTCTATTATTACTGATGTTTTGATTTAATTCATAGTTTCAAGATAGGATGGCAGGTGCTATTTACATTGTCCCATATCTGCTAATTCCTATTATAACTAATATGTCATAAAATTTGAAGACTGTTCCAGGGGCTTCTGAAAAGAAATTTTGTTCTTCAGTGTTTAAGTGGAATTTTCCACATATGTCTGTTATTGTAAGACCCTCATTCCTTATTGTTAAAGGAATGAGAAGGAATTTCCTAACAGAATGTTTTAAAAATCAAAATCCCCAGACTAGCTTCATGTTCCCCGTAAGGATAGTGGCCCCTCCGACTCAGGAGAACACAAAGCATAGAGTCAGGATGGCTTCCCCACCATCTGGTGATAAGGATGTCTTGACTCAGGGACAGCATGGCCTTGCTTGCAAAAAAAAAAAAAAAAAAAAACCTGCAATGGGAAAAAGCAGATCTTCAAAAGCTTGCACCTGTGTCAAACCTCCCTGAAAACCCTTAAGGGCTGCCCGTGTTTCTTTTGTCTTTAAAAAACAAACCACACAAAGGAACTCTTATCTTCTCTCTCTACCTCACTGTGACTGGGTGTTGGACATGGGGGTTCTGAGCTAGCTTACAATAAAGAAACCTTGCTTTTAGAAGCCTGGTCTTCTCTGGTTTCTGGTGGTCCCTTTGGGGGTTATAATCTGGCCTAACAGTTATGCCCATTTGATTTATAATGTGATTTAACTCCAGGATATCTCTATTTAGATGTTGTCTGGAAGATCTTTCTATTAGCACAGAGAGTTTACCTTGATACCAGTCAGCTGTGATAGTTATGAGATCCCTGGAATGTGGCCTAGGGTCAAAGAGAAATCCCAGAAGATTGTAGATGAACTGATTAAATAGATGAGTAAGTAGGTTGTTGAATGGAGAACTATGAGGACTTTGTGTTCATATCACATATAATAGTGAATTTCAAGGGTGTTGTTGTAGGTTAGAAGGATGGAATTAGGGAGGAAGCACTGGTGCATGTAGTAATACCCTAATAAGGCCACAATGGAGAAGTAGAGTAAATATATCTTGACTGTGTCTCTACCAAGTTTTGTGAATGTGGGATTTCTGGACAAGAGTGGGTAGCCAGTCTGCCATCTGTAGGGAGTCAAAAAAGGAATGGAGACAGCCTGTGAGGAATGACTGAGGTGGAATAACAAGTATAGGGGCCCAAAGTATTTATTTTTATTAACATCATTATCCTTTTAGTACAGGCTGTTTGATGTAACATCTTTGCATAAGATAGTCTTTTTATATAATGTATCCTCTCTTGATAATTATGTTACTGTATGTAGTATAGTAGTATAAATTCCTGTGGCATATTTCTAAATGCACAAACAATTAAACTGGCACTTATATTCTTATATAAATGCCATTTCAGAAGTTAAAAAGGAGCAGTCTTTCTAAAAGCTACTACTGAATATAAGAATAAGGTAGCACCAAAAAGAAAATCAGCACAAGCACCATCCTAAAAGGAAGTTATAGAAAATTCACTTTTCTTCTACTTTATAAAAATATTTTTATTTGACTTAAGGATCAATCCAACAAGGTCTATAGATAACCCGGAAACTACAGTCATTACACAGTTGTTGAATCTAATCCTCCTTTAAAATCTTTCATTTTTATTGTGATCAAACTGTTGAGAGCAATTATTTCAAATTTTTCCAAAAGCATACTTCTATTTATTACTTTATCTTAATTTTAATTGTAGTCATTAATGTAAAGTTATTTTGATGCCGATTTTTCTTTAATATCAGTATGTGAAAAGACTAGATCTCAAAAGTTTATCAGGGCATCTCATATATGCCTTGGAATCTGGAATTAATATGAAAATTCCAGACAAGGGATTTTCAAAATTGGTTTAGAGAATTAGGAGTGGAATCTCCAGGTAGAATGCCTGAGTAGAGAGAAAGGACATAAGTGAAAATAAGATGCTGAGTAGTAAATGAGTCAGTGTGTACAGGTGCTTGCTGTTGAAATTCATACATAACCCTCATGAACTCTTATACAATAATAAGTAAATGAGGACGGAAAAAAGCATGAAAGAAGTAAAATCATAAGAAACTATAACATTGAACAGAAATAAATATTTAGATTGCTTAAATATTGTAGAAAATGAATAGATATATTGTTCACAGTCTTAAAATAGCACTATGTAGTGAAGAATATAAAATTAAAATTATTACACTCACAGATTGAAGAATAATGTGAAATACTTTTGAAAGGAAAAATGTTCATTATATCCTAATATCAAATATTTATAAGCATTCAATTAAGGCTTAAGTTTAAGGGAAAGATGGGTATGCAATATAAACTCAAGTCTATTAATATACAGAGTGCATGTTGTGTAATTAGAAAACAGAAATTTTCAGTGGGTGTGAATTAAGGCTATAATGTTTCATCAGGGTTCCTTTATTAGGCAATGGTTCATAAAATACATCTGACCTATCCATAAATTCTATCTACAGTAGCTCCTGAAAGGTAGACAGGAGAAGAAATTTAACTCAAGCTAATTCCTTAAATTTATACAAAATTGATAGCAAACTACCTATATTATTTATTCTGTATCACATTTTTATCAAAAACAAATTAAAATTTTTGGCTGGGGTGGGGTTTATAGATGAATTTTTACTGGTTTACTGATCTTGTGCATGTTTTATACAGTTAATCACAGCCCCTGTGATCTCATGAGTACAAAGGACAGAAAAATACTTTTCAAAGAATTTCTCTCCAAAATCTGGCTCTTGGCCATCTTTTCACCACCTCTTCCATGAAGGTCACTGAGTCCATTAGGGAGAAGTTAATATATATTTCTCACTTGAGGGTAAATAGTACATAGTCACTTATAGTCTATACTCTGACTACTTGTGATTCTCTGTTTCAACAACTGTATACTAGAATGAGAAACTTTCCTGGTGAATGTTTTGAGTAATCTATTTTGCAGTAATCTATAGGCTTAAAAAATCATAAAGTCTTAAAATGATATTTTTACGAAGTTTGGTTAGCATTATAAAAGTAGAATATTCTCCCTAGAATGTACGATCTCCCTAATCATGAGTTATTCACCAAATTTATAGTAATATGTATGAGTTTCTATCATAAAGCTACTGATTAACACCATTGCAATAATACCACCATTGTATCAATGGACATATCTTCCACACTGGTTGTTATTTTGACTAATCTGGCTGACAACCGAATAGGAGTGAAGATAATTTTTCTCACATAGCAGCTTATACTACCTTGAGGTGCTGTGAAAGTTAACAGCTGACACTGGGGAGAGGGACAGTAAATTTTCAGCAGGGATATTACTCTCATAGATTACTCACACAGAAATGGTCATGAACTCATATGCATAGGAGTGGCACTAATTGAAGTCGCTGGGCTATAAAGAAAAGAAAGTATGATACAAATATTGGTGAAGGACATGGGAATGCCTGGGAGAATTTGGAAGAGGAGAAGGGTGATGTAAGTTATCTAAGCATATTCCATATGTGTTTGAAGTTCTCAAAGGATCGATAAATAATTTTGTAAAATAAAGAAATAGCTTCTTCTGTATCTATTTTCCTACTTAGAAGAAATCTCTACCTGACATTATCCCTAGTTAATTAAGATAGGAGAATTGGATACATAGTATTTAAAAATTTAGGATGCACTGGAAATATTTCTGTAGGTAAATGACAGGAAGATAGGCATTAAACAAAGTAAGAGAAGAGAGGGGAGGGTAAATTGGCAAGTGAACAATTATTAGCTACTATCAACCATATATTGTCCTGCAGTAATTATCATCTTGATCAACACCAAGGCAATGTGATTGCTAAATGAGTGATGAACTTGGAATTTATTCTAATACCTTATTTATGAATCTGGATTTAATCTCTTTCTATCCACTTTCCCTCACTGTCTTTCACTTTTATGCATACTCCTGGGCTGTTTTTTGTATCCATATAATTTATAAGAAAATACTAAAACTGTAGGCAATGAAGGAAGGAAGGATGAAAGGAAAGAAAATTTCGCAGAAAAGGTAGTTCAAATTTGATCACAAATATTCAATTTTTTTATTTATCTATTATGAAAGATGCTTAATTTTCTTCCAAACATACATTTATATAAAATGACCTTTTATATTGGTCTCAGTTCAGAGTCCAAAGTCAATAACATAGACCTGTTTTACTCAATGACAAATAAATTATATTTGACATGCAAAAGGAAATAAAAGTATTTTCTGTCCAGAATTTCATGAACATGTAGAATACATTTATTAACTATCCAAGGAAAATAATATGTTTTTTAAGTTTTATCTAAATTTCATAAATAAACAATGAAAAGACATATTTCATAAAAGATTATGATTTGACATATTGTTCATTTTATTTCCTGAGTTTTAGATGGATAAAATATTTAGAGTTAAAGAAATAACATGCTTTCTAAAAGACTAAAGTACTGGCTTATTATGAGATGAGCCATTCCTCAACTTAAGAAAAAATTTTTCTCCCTCTGCCCCCAAAATAGTATTTACCATGTCTTCTACAAATTGAGGAAGTGATTCAGCTTAAAACACTTTCAAAAATGTGGAAAGTGAACAACCAAATGCCTGTGAGGCAGAGAAACAACTTCCACTTGCTGATGTCAGCATAATTTCTCAGGTGGAAACAAATATATAAAGCTCATAAGGCTTCCAAAAAGATAAATGTAACCAAGCCACAGAAAATAACCAATCAGAAGCAGGGAAGACTCAAAATGATCCACCAAATGAATTTATAGATGACCTACTTCCACTACAGATACTTATTCCTAGAAAGCTGACATTTCCAAGGGTAAGAGTATTTAGAATTGAGTATTCCACAACCACAAAGTCATGAAGATGATTTTGTGTCAGATAAAATAATGTTTTATCCTAGAAAAATGGAGATGGAAATAAGTGATTACTTTCACAATTCTATACGTGACAAAATGAAACATACTCATTTCCTGCATTGACGAGTCCTGTTCATTAATATTGATGAGTTATGTAGAGGAATTATTCACTTATTGTATAGGAGAAATTCTTCTCCACCTGAAAACAAAATTGTCAAAAAAACACATGGGTAAAGCATAAATGATATAGGTCTATGTGTTATTTTCATCGGTTAGTAAAGAGACTGCCTTGGCCCTTTGAGAGGACAGAAAATGAGGTAGGCAGAGTAAACAGAACAGAATGCTGGGAAGAGGGCAATGAGACAGATGCCATGGAACCAGCCACCAGGTCAGGCATGCTGAACCTTTTCCGGTAAGCCACCACCTCGTGGTGCTACACAGATTATTAGAAATGGGTTGATCAAGATGTGAGAGTTAGCCAGTAATTAACTCTCTAGATATAATGGGCCAGGCAGTGTTTAAATGAATACAATTTGTGTGTTGTTATTTCTGGGCTAAGCTAGCCTGGTGGGAGCTGGGAGGGACGAAAAGCAGGCCTGGCCGCAGCTCCTCACTACACATAAATATGTAGCTGTTTTTGCTCACCAGAATGTTTTTAACAACACTGAAAAAAACATGTATTTGGAAGGTGTAACATGATAAGCTGGCTTTTTGGGGTTTTTTGTCCTGCCCAGTTCCAACAGCTGTTTAGCCCCAAAGAAAATCACACAGAGATTTCCATAATTTATAAAACTGACTGGCCCATTAGCTCAGGCTTCTTATTAGCTCTTATGACTTATATTAACCCATTATTCTGATCTATTTTTGCCATATGGCTCAGCACCTTCTTCAGCTGGCAGGTCACATCCTGCTTCCTTGGTGATCTGTGCAGAACTGGGAGGAATCAGCTTCCTCCTTCCCAGAATTCTCCTGTTCTCATTACATCACCTCTATTTCCTGTCTGGTTTTCTTGCCTATACTTCCTGCCTGGTCAATCAGCATTTATTTCAAACATGAATGACAGAATACAGACAATTCTCCCATACCAGGAAGGCTTTTGTGAGTGGATTATTACTATCCACTTATTGAAAGAATGACTCAAAGAAAAAATAGTAAGTCCTATCAAAACAATGGAAACCACCCTTCTGTGAGCCCAAGGTTCTACATACCAAATGTCCAAACTCAGAATATTGTTCATAAAATACTTGTTAGAAATAATTTGAGAACTCATCACAAACTGAGATTAGTAATCCTAAATTATAATAAAAATTGGAAATATCTGTGGGTGTGGTTTCAACAACTTTCAATATTTTAAAAATCATTCATGCAAATTTTCTGAGTATTAAAGCAGGGTAATCTCTCTCTTTTTAAAATTTTCAGTTCTAAACCTAAGCAATGTTAAGATTCATCTGAAACAGTAGCTCACGAACAGCAAATTTAGTATGATTACATTACACTGCACAACTGAAATCAAACTCAATATATACTACAAAAAGAAACATTTCAGGAAGAGAATTAACCTTTGTATTTATCACTGAAATGACAATCTTTTTAATCTATGTTGACTCAGCAATTGAATCAAAATGATGTTTGCAACTACCTTAACATTGATTTCTGCTGATACGCATATTGTTACTGGTCACCAACTAAACAGGATCCTGGTAAAGATAACAACAGAGAGTTAGGCAAAGTCACACCAGGGGAATCTAGAGAATGAGTTCATTAAACTATCTGATTTTCTCAGGATTCAATAAAATTATAATAATATATTGCAAATATAACTGTAGTTTTACAGTTAGATATGAATATATGCCATGCAAATTACATTGTTGTAAATATATCTTAATTGCACATTAGTGACAGTCTAATAGATAAATAAACATAACATGATCACTTAAATGAAGTGAAATTACTTTTGATATAATTGAAGAATAATAAGTACTAAACATATATCACACAAAAGTAAGATCTTTTTTTGGTTTTGAACATCTTCTTCATCAATGTCCACAGCCAGCATCTAAGATTTATACTTGGAACATTTTACAGGTTTAAGAGACTTACCTTGCTACTTGTAGCTCAATACCCTTATCTTATCTTTCCTTTTATTATGAGTATTAAATTATAAATATTTGGTTCTAAATATATATTACACCTAATATAGAATCTATATGGTAATCTGTTCATGTAGGGCTTAAAAACAAAGATTTCATTAATATACATTTTTGGCATACCATTTTATATGTATTTTTGTACACTTATATTCTATAGTATAATTTGCTACATTATAAGTTCAGTGAATAATTTTTATAATCATTTCCTGAAATATTAAAAATACAGATATAAACTAATATGCACTTATATATAATTATTAGCATCTACATAAATAAACTATATAAATATGATCCAGAACAACTAATTACTAAGCAGACAATAACGTGTATTTGCCGAAGAAATAAACTTAAAGAATAATGAAGGTGGCAGCTTTTAACTTTTTTTTTGAAAGTAATTTTATTAAATTATAAAAGTTTCCATTTCTGCCCCTCCTTCCACCACCCTCCCACTCCCCCCACTCTCTCTCCTCCTCCCTCTCCATCCCTAAGAGCAGTCAGGGTTTCCTGCCCTGTGGGAAGTTCAAGTTCCTCCCCCCTCCCTCCAGGTCCAGGAAGGTGAGTGTCCAGACAGACTGGATCCGCAAAATCCAGTATATGCAGAGGAAACAAGTCCCAGTGTCATTGTCAATGGCTTTTCAGAAAGACTCCTGGCCAGCCACATTCAGAGAATCTGGTTGGATCACGTCCTCATTCAGTCCCAGTCCAACTGGCCTTGACAAACTCTCATTAGATCCATCCCCTTGTATCAGTGGGTGATCACATCCCTCGCAGTCCTTATTTACTTTTTCATTTTCTTCCTCCTTCTGCTCCTCATTTGGACCTTGGGGGGCTCAGTCCAGTGCTCCAATGTGGGTCTCCATCTGTATAGCCATCCATCGTCGGATGAAGGTTCCCTCTGGTATAGCCTTCTTTGCTCACATTCTCTTTCCTTCTGCTTCTCGTTTGGACCTAGGGAGTTAAGTCCAGTGTTCCGATGTGGGTCTCTGTCTCTATCTCCATCCATCGTCAGATGAAGGTTCTATGGTGATAAGCAAAATATTCTTCAGTATGATTATGGGCCTAGGCCGTTTCAGGCACCCTCTCTTCTGTCCAGAGAACAATCTGGGGATCTCTCCTTGGACCTGGGATCTCATTTATAAACAAGTCTCCTGTAAACCCTAAAATGACTCCCTTAGTTGAAATATATTCTTCCCTGATCCCATATCCATCCTTCCTCCCTCCCCCCATCCCAGTCCACCTAGCTTTCCCCATTCCTCCCCTACTCCCTCCTCTCTAACCCTCTCCCCTTCCAACAACCCTCCCACCCCCCCATGCACCCAAGGATACCTGGTACTCTTGTAATAGCCAGAACCTGGAAACAACCTAGGTGCCCCTCAATAGAAGAATGGTTAAAGAAGGTGTAGAACATATACACATTAGAGTTTTACTCAGCGGTAAAAAACAATGACATCTTGAATTTTGCATGCAAATGGATGGAAATAGAAAACACTTTACTGAGTGAGGTAAGCCAGACCCAAAAAGAGGAACACGGTATGTATTCACTCATAAGTGGATTCTAACCATAATTAAAGGTTTTTGAGCCTATTATTCGTGATCCTAGAGAAGCTAAATAAGAAGGTGAACCTGATGAAAATCATGTAGCTATCTGCCTGGAGATTGGAAATAGATAAGACCATTCTTAACAAAGAATGGAGGCACAGACTTTAAAAGAGACAATACAGCCTAAAGTCAAAACCATTAGCTAAAATGTGATTCAGAGTAATAGACAGGTGTTTTAATAAGAGTAAACCATCTGTGAACGCTGTGATGCATGAAACAGAAGAGGAAAATGGGTAATCTGGAGCTTTGAAAGTCAATGTAAAAGGTAAAATGTTTGTTAGTAGTTTGCTTTGTTTTCAAGGTTATAGCAGGCTAGTATAAATATCACTAAAAGCTATTACAGATTGAGTATCTTTTTTTTCATTTGTGTACTTAGTAGCACTTCCTTTATGAGATGGACATATTCACAAAATATACATCACCTATTTGTGACGGAACAGATGCAGTATCACACATATAATGAAATAAAACATAATTTATATTGCATATACATTGACTATTTTTAGTTTGTACCAAAACTCATTAATATGTGCTCCTTTGTATAGCTTCATAGCCAATTTAAAATTCTGTTCTCCTTATTATTCAAATATTTTAGGTTTAAAATTTTCGATTAAAACCTAATCTAGCAATTCAAAGTCTAAAAATGACAACATTACTAATCTCCTCAACTGTAGTAGTTTCTTGATTATGCTGTACTCCCTTTCCCCAGAGTAGAGAGGACTAAGGGAGCATCTGAAAATCAATGTGTTTTGGAAGAAAAAAAGTTACAAATTTAGGATTATAATTAAATACATTGAATCCTAATATTTGAAATTTCTAAAACTGTAAACTGAGTGACTGGAAAAAAAATCAGTCATTTTGGGTACAAACTTCCTCCTTAACACTATAGAAAAATGGTTCTTTTTGCATAATATTGTTTATACCCACTTCACTAAAGGTGTTTTTAAGCCTTGGGAGTTCCTTAGAATTTTTATGGTTTCTTATGTTTACTATTATATTATCAGAAAAAAAATGCTTTGATTTCTTTCTTTCCAATTTGTATCACCTTAATATCTTTTAGTTGTTGTCATATTACTTAGCTAAAACATCAAGTATTGTATTGAATATATGGCTAGAGTGAACGGCCTCGTCTTATTCATGATTTTAGTAGAACTGATTTGAGTTTCCCTCCATTTAATCTTATATTTGCTTTTGGCTTGCTGTATATTACTTTTATTATGCTTAGATATTTTCCTTGTATCTGTGATCTCTCCATGAAATTTGTCAAGTAAGGATGTTGAATTTTGTTAAAAGCTTTTTAGTATCTTTTGAGATGATCATTTTTTTTTAGGTTTGATTATATGGTAGATTAAATTGACAGATTTTCACATGGTGAATTGTCCCTACAACTCTGGAATGAAGCCTACTTAATCATGGAAGATAATCTTTTTGAAGAGTTCTTGGACTTGGTTTGCCAGTATTTTATTGAGTATTTTTCATCAAGGTTCAAGAGGGAAACAGATCTTTGATTCTCTTTCTTTGTTAAATCTTTGTATGGTTTATGTATCAGGGTGACTGTAGCCTCATAAAAAGAATTTGACAATGTTCTTTCTGTTTCTGTATTATGGAATATCTGTATTAGTTCTTCATTGAAAGTTTAGTAGAATTCTGTGCAAAGACCATCTGGACCTGGGCTTTTTATAAATTTATTTAATTATTTTTGGAAGACTTTTAATAATTGCTTGTATTTTCCTAGCAATTGTATGTCTATATAAATTGCTTTTCTGATCTTAATTTAATTTTTGGTATGTGGTATCTATCAAGAAATTTATCCATTTCATTAAGATTTTTTTTTCAATTTTGTGAAGTATAGGTTTTTGAAGTATGACCTAATTATTGTCTGGATTTTCCCAATGTTTTTTTTTATGTCCTGTTTTCCTTTTTTGATTTCATTAACATATATTTTCTCACACTGCCTTTTAGTTAGTTTAGGCAGGATTTGTCTATCTTGTTAGTTTTCTCAAAGAAACTACTCTTTGTTTCATTGATCCTTTGTATTGCCCTCGTTGTCTATATTTTATTGATATCTGCCCCAAATTTGATTTTTTCTTGACATCTTTTCCTCTTTTGTGTATTTGCTTATTTTTTCTAAAGTTTTAAGTTGTATGATTAAGTTGATAGTATGAGATTTATGCAAATTCTTCATGCAGACACTTATTTCTAGGAACTTTCTCTAACACCGCTTTTACTGTGTCCTATAAGTTTGGTTATGTGCATTCATGTTCATTGAATACTAGAAAGACTTTGAATTATTTACTTTTTAACCTGGTGGTAATTCAACTGAGAGTTGTTCAGCTTCAAGAAGTTGGTAGATTTTCTGTAGTTTCTGTCAACTCCAACTTTAGTCCCATGATGATCAGATAAGATACCAGGGATTATTCCAATTATTTTGCATCTTTTTAGGCTTGGTTTGTGACTGAGTATGAAGTTAATTATTAAGAAGGATTCATGATTTGCTGACAGGAAGTTATATTCTTTTTTTGGGTAACATATTCTGTAACAATTTGTTAGGTCCATTTGAGTTATAACATCTATTAATTTCATTATTTCTGTTTAGTTTCTATCTGGAATACCTACCATTGGTGAAGCATTAGGTG